CTTTCTCTTGTAAGGCTAAATTAAAATGGCACATCAGTCTGAGAATGACAGTTGATGTCCTTGAGATGGCGTACTTCTCTTCCCTATAAAAAGTGCATTTCAGAATTACATTTAGATGAATGTCCTCATAAACTAGAACAGGTTCTCCAACAAGCTAATGGATAGCTGATGAGATGAATATTCCGAACATGCAAACAGAAGCAAAGCGGAGACAAGCTGGAGTGTTTTACTAGAGAATGAAGAGATGATGCGAAAAGAGACATGGAGAGTTAGACAAAAGATTAGACAAAAAGAGAAACAAAATTAGAGGAATGATGTGGAGAAATGAGACAATAGGGGAAAAGGGAGAAGAGAAATGAGACAACAGGCGAAAAAGGAGAAGAGAAGAGAAGAGAAGAGAAGAGAAGAGAAGAGAAGAGAAGAGAAGAGACATGAGGAGTCCTGTATAAAGAGAAGGAAGGAGAACAGATAGGTAACAGTATATCAGCTGTAGCTGAAGGAACATTCACACATTCAGTCTGTGTTTACAGCTCAATGGCAGGTGTGAGGAGGAGTTTCTCTCTGTTTCACACTGACTCTTCACCACCACTGATCCCACCATGAGATGGATGACAGCGTCAACTGTGGCCCAACATCAAACCCTTCTACTACCAACAACTGCCTGAGTGAATATTTCTCAGTTCATGTGTGGTGTGTGTATAATTAGGAGTAAACATTTTTGCTTGAAATGACACAGCTGTGGTAACTTGGGGACAAACCGATGGAAATGTACTAATGCACTATTGAGTGGTTTGCTTGTCTTTGATCAACTGCAGTCCCATGGTTGTGTACCAGCATCCCATCAAACACACAAGTGACTCTTTCAGCTCAAAATGAAGCTAAATAAACCCTGAATATGTGAGCATGGCTCTGCCTTCTCTCCATTCATCACAGAGGTAAATAAATACTGGAGTGTATTCCGTTGGGGACCAGATAGAAACAGAGAAATCGAGAAAGAAAACGAAATGGAGAGAGAATAAGTGCCCATGTGGAATGGGATCCAATTGGACCAGGAGAGGGACACCTCTGTCGGATCTCCCCAAATCCCTGGCTTTGTTTACTGCCTCTCTGTAGCTTGACTTGAAAAAATATACATCTCTTCCGTCACATACTCCCTGGTGGGCTATTGCTCCCCAAGAGGAGGTCCTGTTACAGGCATATGCCCACAGCCGTGATCTTCACACAGCCCCAGCACCTGCTCTGAGCCTCCACGTCCAGCCATGTTCCTGTGCACATGTTTAAGTAAAAATCTCCCTCACTTGCACTGAACCAATACTCGGTTTCTAGGTGTCAGCCATAAAGCACTTAGCTCCGAGATTTCATGCCTCAGAGCACAAATATTGCAGTCTGATGCCGTACAGAGAATAGTGAACGCATCACTGTAGCGAACTCTAACCCATGTCTGAAAGCATCTAGTGAAAAAAGGAAAGTTTTCATCTCACTTAAAGGGATAGTTCACCCAATAATGAAAATTGTGTCATCATTTACTGACTCATGTTGTTCCAGACTTGTATGGAAAATTGAGAAATGTGCTTTCAAGCAAGTGAGACTTTCAAGATTCAAACAGCACCAAAAGGCATTATAAAAGTATAGTTCATATAACTCTGAGTCAGTATGAATTGTCTGAAGCAATATGATTACTTTGTGTGGCAAAACACAATTTGTCACAAACAATAAATAAAAAGTATGTAATATTATAACTATGGAGTGTTTAAGAACAGAACATTGCTGTTACTCTCATCAGTGTGTCAAGGATATCAACATATTCAGATAATAATGACTTAAATTGATAAAAGTGAAATCTTGGAATTGAGTGCACGAGTAATATTGACTAATTTTGTGATTCTTCACCATTTTTTGAAGCTTGACAGTCAAAAGTATAATTTGCAAAAAATGTAATGGCAGAATATTCTTTAAAAATCTATCTTTTGTATTCCATGGAAGTCAAATGGGTTTGGAATGATGAAAAAGTGAGTAAACAATGACACTGAATTTTAATTTTTGGGTGAAGAATTCCTTTGAGCACCAGGAAGTTAATGAACAACATTTTTTCTACTAAAAAGTCTGAACTAATGAGAGGTAATTAAGACGAAAAATATCCTTTCAAAACAGTTTGGTGAAAGTTTTCAGGTCATTTACCAGCCGAGCGCTGAGGAATGAGAGGGAAATGTTTGTCAGGAACAAATTAATTGAGCATACCTCTGCTTTTCATTCCAGTGTGCACTGAGCCTGCGATGGCAATAAGGAACAATGGCAATGAAACCCAATCTCCAGGATGCCTGCAGGTCCTAGTGTTGAAACGTGTAGCTGGCCCACTACTTTACCCCAATGATCAAGCAGATGAACAAGTGCTGGCTTTGTTTGGGGAAGTAAAGGAGGCCTGAGATTTCATATAAAGCCACTGGCACACAGAGGCATGTGGGGTAAGTTAGCCAGAGAGGTCTGAGTTTCACTCCTAAGTGCAGTTCTTTTGTCTCAGTTTCACTGTGTCTGGCCGTAACACCACTATTGTTTTGACAGATTAACACATCGTTTTTCCTTTTTATTAGTGGAAAAAGTTTTTTTTTAAGATAAAGCTACTGGTAAAGGAATAGTTCAATCAAAAATGAAAATTTGCTTAAAATCTATTCACCCTCAGACCATCCAAGATGTAGATGAGTTTGTTTCTACACTGGCACTGATTTGTAGAAATTGAGCATTACATCACTTGCCCATCAGTGGATCCTCTGCAGTGAATTGGCGCCTTCTGAATGCGAGTTCAAACAGCTGATAAAAAGGACATGACTCCAGTTAATTAAGTTTACAAGTGAAAACAGTCAGAATATATTGTTGGTGGATGTTGATGTGAAAGGACAACAGGGGATGGACTTTTACACTGGAGGAACCATTATTATGGATTAGGGACTGTTTTTTAGCACTGATCCAAGCAAACATGCTACATGAACATCTTTGACCTTTGCAATGTGCCTTGCTGTTTTTCCAATTGCCACTTCCACATATGAAACCTGTTAAATTGCAGTAAAATTGACGGATAGCTTTTCCGCTAAATACAACTCATCTGCTATTTACACATGCAGCTGCTTTTCGTCTTTTTTCCATATTGCTACCATTCACACATCAGCACCAAAACGCCATTAAAACTCTGTGATGTCAATGGCCGGAAATGACCTTTAAACAGCTGCATTGGAAATATAATAAGATAGTGAAAGAATCCTTTACTGTTCCAGTAATCTGCTGACTAATTTCTTCATCTGCTCAGATGGAAAGAAGCTCTTACATTTCAGCACCCAAATTGATAATATTTCTTTCCAAAATGTCATAATCATGAGTTTCATCATGAGCATCGCAGGCTTACAGCTAAACACCTTGCTTGCAATTACATTAACCTCATATGTATTTAAACTGTTCATCACACATAGGTTTTGTACACACAAAGCATCAGTGCAGGACATTTTTGGCAACGTTACAACTTCTTAGGTCGGGCGATTTGCTGGCATGTTGACAGTGGGTCCTGTTGAAACAAAATGGAAAAGTGTGGTTTAAGTTTACAAAAAAAGCTGTATGTGTGTGTAAATGCACCTAATGTCTTGCTAAACGACTAAATGTAATATCTCATGAAATGTGTACCATGTTTTAAACTTAGATATGCACCAATATTCAAATTATGACTGATACGATAAGCTGCTAATTATTTTCATATTACGGCCGATAACCGGTAAATGTCCTTTGTTAAAATGTTATAGTATTTTTTCTAAATAAATGAAAAATAAAGCAATAAAAACAAACAAACAAAAAACTGTCATTTTAACTGATAAAAGTGAATTCAGGCATCCCAACCTATTTTTGCATTTATATTGCAGCATCTAACACCATCATCTAACTTACTCATTTAAGTTAAACGCTATTCATTTAAAAGCACTGTTTCTGAGAAAATTGGGCAAATCTCAAAATAAAAATATCAGTTTTTCATACTCCACATTATAATGGAAAATGAGCATGCAAAATTAAATATCCAATATAGATATTTCATAGTAATTAAATGAAAATAACATTAAAAACATAATAAAAATCACATAATCAATACATCCCTAATACCATCTTGTGTGAACAACCCTTTAGAATAGTAATAACTTCCCAGTAATAAAAACAAGTTATTACATTTTAGAGTATGGGCACCACAGTAAAGGACTGATAATTATCAGTCTTCACAAGGAAAAAAAGAAGGGTAGCGGATACTCAGGAGACCATAGGAATGATAATTCTAGATGATAATGAGAAAAGTTAAATCCGACAGACACACGGCTGCGGTTGGCGGGTGAAGGAGCGGTCACTGGGGTTCAGGTCAAGTAGAATTCACAAAAAAAATCTGCATTGAGCTTCAGCGAGCTTTCATTTTGGTTGCTAGGCAAGGAAAGGGTAATTGTGTAGAAAAACACACACACACACATAGGTGAGAGCACTATAAAGAGCCTGAAATACAATTTAATGAGGATTGTCCCACAAAAGACTGATTAAGAAATTATTAAATCTGTGTAAATGAGTGTTGAAGAGCTTGAAATATTTCTACTAATGCATACCAGCTTTATAAAATGACTGTGCCCGCCGGTTAATGAGCTTACAGCACAGTTTGAAGAGCGCAGTTCACACTGGCAGAGAAAAATGTGCAACGCAATGCCATGACAAATGGAAGTGACAAGTAGCAATGGAGGTGAGCATGGGCTGTGATACAGTGATACAACACAAGGAGACGAGAGCAGATTTATGTTCACTCAAACTCTATCTTTCCGCTTCATCTACTACTCCATGAAATCTCTCTTTTACATCCAGCTCTCTCTCGCAGATCAATACCAGCCCTTTCCAGTTTGCCACAGTCCATCGTATTCCATCACAGCGAGCTAAAAATGATCTGATCTCTGCCATCGCACAAAGATCACTGGGCATTTTTCAGAGACCTGTCATCCAGCCACATCTGTTTGGTGTTTACACATTTAGCTTTGCGAAAATGGAGCTACAGGGTCTTCCTGAGGGACTCTGAGGTCAAGGTCACAGGCAGACAAACAAGCATTTTGTATTTGGCTCAATGTTTGCAGGGTTACAAGATGTCCTTTGTGAAAGGTTAAAACTGTCTCTCATTCATTGAATTACCGCAACGTATTATGTTCAATTACATAAGTTTAAAATAACCTCTGTTGTAGTCATCCATCATTTCTCTTTTTTTGTACCTCCATCATTGCCGGTGCTGCCAAAGTTATGTTTGGATCAATATGAGACTCTGGAGGAATTTTCTTTTAGCATACAGTACCTTCAAGGTGCATTACAAGTTTTTTTTTTTTTATGTGTTATGGACATAAAAAAAATGCACCAAAAAGAGAGCATTTGCTGTTGTGGTGCAATTTTTTTCTCCCTCATTATATCTGGCATAAAATGCTATATTCCTTAGGTCGTTTTCAATAAATCAGCCTCCCTCATAACCAAAGTTTTATGTAAAATGTCTACCATTTCACTACTCCCAGGCGCCAATATATCTCAGCACATACACCTCTGGTGATCACAGTATCAATCCACACAGGAAAAAAAAAATTGAGCTGCGTTTTAACGTTATTGTGGATAAATGCTCTTAAAGCTTTCATAGTTCTGCTTATGTTTTTCCTCTTTAACAATGCTTTAACGAGGTGTAGAGAGTCAGGGAATATTAGTCAAAATGAAAGATCTCTCAGAACATACGTCAGTAAAGTCTCGGCATGGCAACTTAACAACTGAGCTGGTCCAGACCGCAGTCGTGCATGAACGAGGTCCACCCTGTAAGGTGGTGTGCATAGTTTTTAACACAGAGGGCCTTGGAGTTACACGATTCACAGTGTTTCTGTGCAGTCATGTATAAGTTTTATGTCTGCAGATTGGAAAACAGATTTTTTGCTATATAAGTCGTCACCTTTATTGATATAGCACTTTATAGATTGTTTTAAAGCAGCTTCACTGTAATAAACAGGAAAATAACAGAATCAACGATGCAAGCTTTATCAAATATGAGACAAATTTAAATTCTGCTGTAAAGCAGGTCTAAAAAGATAATAGTATCATTATTCAGTTCAGTGTAGGTTACAGTTCAATAACTGTGTAAAGTTCATCAGTTGTGTCCAATTTAGCTATATGCAGCTCTACAGAAGACAATAGTGTTGTTATTCAGCTCCATGTTGATTCATTCAGTTCAATAATCAGTGTCGATGTTGCAATATTCATCAATTATTAAACAAATTTGATTCATTATTTAGCTCGAGTCAGTTCAGTGTTGATTCAATTCAGTTCAGTAACAGTGTTGATGTTGCAAAATTCATCAATTATGAAACAAATTCGATTCAGAAGACAATAGTGTCATCTTCCAGCTCATCTCAGGTAAAGTTTTGTTCTCATCCAGTGGTGTCAGTGCAATCAAATTGGTAATATTATTGAATATTAAGTGTCTTTTGAATGCTCTATAAAGAAAGAATATTTATTTCATCGAACACTAAAAGGTTAATATTAACATATCACTGAGGTAAAATACGGAGGGGAAAAAATTCCATGTGATCATTAATTCTGCATTTGCTTTCTGATGCACTTCCAGGAGCTGCTCCTCGAATTTTTAGCATCTGAAGGAGGATGTAAAACCATGCAGAGGGGCTGAACATGTCTGAGAAATTTTTATTTATGATTATTCAGTCAAACGAATTTGAAGGAGGAACAGCTTGGTGCTTGTATATCACACGAATCGTGAAAGTGGAGAGTTAAACTGAGATATGGCATGAACATTCGCAGAACATTCCTTAAGGCTCTGCGCCATGTTACGATAACAATCAAAGAGTAGTAACAACTTACTCTCACAATCCTTTTTCATGTCCGCTGCAAGCAAACTATTCATTACCTCCTGCGCAAGAGATGGAGAGAGAGCGAGAGAGGGAGAGAGACAAAGACAAACAGATAGAAAAATACATTAGCGGACTACACCGGGCTCTCATAAGAGTCGGCGGGCATGTTTAGCAGGCGAAAAAAGGTGAATCTTGTTTTCATTACAGGAGAAAATTGAACTGGCAGCTATTGAGCCCCATCAATCATGAATTCCATCATGGGCTGTCAGGGTTGAGTTATCACCCTGAATGGCATTCCCACACGCACAGAGGGCATCGGCTCACACCGGCACCGAAACCCTCATCTGTCTCTTCCTCTCATTCCCCTGCACCCCTACACCCCCAATCGCTGCTTCTTGCTTCTTTGTCTTTTCATTCTATCACAATAATACATAGTTTCTAAAAGTTCACATCCTTATAAAAAAGTACTATGGTTTTGAAATAAAAATCTGCTACTGAAAAATTGTAATGCCATGGGTTTTGGATCTATCTATCTATCTCCAAGTCCAATTACTCAAATGTTTGTTTTAGCAATGGTTGTGTATGTTTTTGTGAATTTCATCACATTTTGTGCTGTAGCTTTTGGCTAAAAGAAAGTGAACACAAGAAATCCTGGGCTGGCCAAAGAGTCATGAAAAAAAAAATGTCCACAAAAATAATATCAGCTAGCATAACAAATGTTAATAATAATAAGAGATGTTTCTTGTTCATCAAATCAGCCTATTAAAATTATGTCTAAAGGATCACGTGACACTGAAGACTGGAATAATGGCTGCTGAAAATTCAGCTTTGGCATCCCAGGAATAAATTGCATTTTAGAGTATTAAAAAAGAAAACTGTTTTAAACTGTAATAATATTTCACAATTTTACTGTTTTTGCTGTATTTTTGATCGACTAAACGCAGCATTGGTGAGCATAAGAGACTTCCTTCAAAAACATTACCAAACTTACAATTTTGGGTGGTTTTAACTAAATGGTTGAAGACAGGTTGGGGCAAAGTGTTTTGTGGGTTGCAATATTGTATATTTTTATTAACTAACACAATGCTTTATAGTTTTTATGTTACTTTTCACACTTTTGCTGTTTCTTGAATGTTTTATTTTTCATAATTGTTTTACTGTTTAAAGGTATTTATTTTTTATAATAGGCTGTTAAATGGATGGTTCCATTGTGAGAACTTACCCATATAGTGCGACAACATGACCTGCAATACTAAGGTGTGATTAATTAACTGTATATTTCTCCTGTGCAAATACACAAGGTATCTTTTTGGCTTTCAAAATTAAACCTACTCTGAGAAATATTTAGTGTGTGTGACTTATTTCAAAATACCACTGCATTAGAATCTCATATCATCACTGACCCATGCCATTTCAATCTCATTTAGTATCAAGACTGAGATCAACTTGGACAAAAGTTCATGGAAATTTGACCCAAACAAACAGTGCGACAGGGTGTGATGTACATTGTATACTTAATATGTATATTTTAGAAGTAACTCTTCTTTTGCATTCCATCAAACAGCACAAAAATCATCAAACTGGTCCAAAAGAAAAGAAGCCCCTTAAAGGGGTCATATGACGTTGCTAAAAACAACATTATTTTGTGTATTTGGTGTTATGAAATGTGTTTATGCAGTTTAAGTTTAAAAAAACACATTATTTTCCACATACCGTACATTATTGTTTCTCCTCTATGCCCCGCCTTTCTGAAGCGCGTCGATTTTTACAAAGCTCATCGTTCTGAAAAGCAAGGTGTACGCTGATTGGCCAGCTATCTAGTGCGTTGTGATTGGCCGAATTCCTCAAGCGTGTGACGATATGTAACCGAGACGTTGGACAGTACTGTTGATTGACAGCTAATTCAGATCCAGTCAAACAGTGGGGGATGAAGTTTTCATTGGAGGCAGAACAATAGCTGGCAAGCAGTTCGCAACCCTCGTACCGCTGCGTGGAGGTAGAATTTGGCATAAAACACACGGCTCAGTCCGACGAGGAGCACATTCCCCAACACCCAGATAAATAAACAGCAGCAGTCTATAGACTACAATCTGCTCCATCTTTCTCTCTTATTACTAGCTAACATTGATTTTATTTTTCATTACTCTTTTCTTCCCCACCCGCCCGGCAGAGGCAGGTGGGTGAAAAACGGATACAGACAAAAATATGAAACGGAAATATGGATTTCTCCTTCTCTTTCTCTCTTATATTCTTTCTGCTTTTATCTCTCCCATTTATTCTTATTTTTCCCTCCCCTCTGCTTTTCTCTCTAATTCTCGCTTGGTCACCATCCGTTTGTGCATCTGTGTGTGTAGGTGAGAGGCCCGACAGCCCTCTGAATTGAGTCGTATTGATTCGAGAGGAGACATTTTATTTCGGCGATGCATCAGCCAAGATGCACGGCATCAAAAGAGCTGAGGGGATGCTTTCAAGTCGATGGAGAGGGTGTGCGTGTATGTATTACCGCCTGAGATCAAGGTTCCCGTTCATGTGTGTTTGTGTTTGGGCAGAGAAAAAAGACACATAGTGTGAAGCAGTGGATGGTGAAAAAGAGGACATGTGCTATGGTTTCAAGAGACGGATACAGAAGCAGTGTCCATTGCCAAAATGCGAACGTGCACCATTATGTGCAATCAGTTTAGCTTAGCAGTTAATGTCTGTGGGTGCATCCCGATGTGCAATTCTATATAGTCTGCAAGATGAGGATTAAAGCGACCCAAATCATAGTACACTGAAATTATAGTGCTTCAAAAGCCACTGGAAGGTATACTGTTTTGTAGTGTACATACATATATGCTCTGTGAGGTCAATGTCCCACAATTAGCATTTGCGCAACAGAAGAAAAGCAGTTTGTGATATTTCTTGTTCAGTTGTACAAAAATATCACATTTGTTTAAAAATGTATGAAGCTAAAACTTAATAAATTATCAATTTCAAAATCAGTATAAAAAGCAGGACATGATTTTATGTTTATTTATAAGTTACAAGCGTACAAGTGTACAAGTTATTTGACATGCTATTTTCATTGTACTGTGATTTTAAGAGTAAAATCATTTATTGATTGGACCATGAAATCTATTTTGTCAG